ATATTTAATGATTAAGATAATGTTAATGTTTTTAGAGATTATGTGATTTATATCGAATTTAAGGATTTAGACCTATTTGATTTAATACCCATATACTCTAGAATAAGTGGATTCATTTTTAATAAAACGAGAAGATAATCTACAGTTATACTGATATATGGGAAAAAAATCGAAATATATATTACATTAATACGCATGATTTTTAAGAATCTAAACCATGTGTAGTTAATCCAATTTTAGGGATCCCTGCATATAGTCGCACAAGGCATCAACTGACCATATTCGCACGATGTAGATGTTCTATGAACTTAGCCAAATTAGTTTGATGACATGAAACCTAAATGTTGCAAAGTTAATAAGTAACAATATTTTCGGTTTACATGGGAATCTGGCACAAAAAAACCCCCATTAAAAATGTTGATCGTCAACTATCAATGTAAAATAGTTGTGACGTATTATTCGATTCTGACGAAATTTTTGTTGTTAAAGTAGAAATTATAATAAAATTCGGCTTAACGAAATAATTTTTATTAAATATGATTTAGTTAGCCAATTTTGCATCGTTATAAAGCGAAAATCGGTTTATGGTAGTTCGGTTTATCGAGATTTGACTGTAGATAGATTTATTCAAAATTTCGAATTAATAAAAAATTATGTGCGCGTTACAATTTGTAACGCCGATCACTTTTATCGTCTATGATATATATACTACTTTCGTAACGCACCAAGAAAAAATTCTCGATCATGCACTTATTTTTTATTTTTCTGATGCATATACGCATCGCATCATAATCAATGCCTAATCAGGCGATTATGCAATATAGATACAAAATAAGATATACAAATTAACTATATTTAGTATCACAATATAAATAAGATCTCAATTGATTCGTGCTGTTTTCATTTTCTTCGTTTTCTTGGTAGGAGTGTGAATCATTCGTGTCGTCATCTTAATAGCTTCAACTCCACCACCACTGGCCCACAAAAAATCTCGTATAGTTCTTAAACCTTCAGATAATAGGCGCTAATTTAAAAGAATTTAAAAATGTTAATTTTGTGTTCTCTGTATCCAGTTTTTTCTGAATCCATTTATACGAACCTCATACTTCAACAAGCCAATTATAGCTTCATCAGCTTTTGCCATATCTGCCCACGTTTTAGGTAGGGGAAATGTCAAGATCGCTTCTGTAGTGTAAATCTCGGTATATTTTAGCTGGAATTCATATATAGTCAACTCATTTACTATAAAACACAGAGTTAGTAGTGCATAATAACAATAATACACAAAAAAAATTTAAAAACTTACAATAAGCTTGTAACCCATATAATTTGATTAACGTGATATCTGAGCTTGGTTTGAGTTTGGCAAATTTATTCATTAAAGTTTTTAACATCTTCATGATCTTCATACGATCACCCCAAAAATGTGCCCAATCATTTTTCAGTGGGGGTCCACTGACTTCAGTTACTGAGAACTCTTTGTCTTCTTCTCTCATACAAATAATTGTATCAATCTTTTTTCCTGAAGATCGGTGTTCGACATCTTTTTTATTGGAATTAACATCTTGTGCACATGCCTTGAGGCATGTTTCTCCATATGAAACAAGCCAATCTTTTTTATTTTTGTTAAAGAAGTAATCAAGAATGGGTGCTAGAACGTTTATGATATAGGTTCCCTCGGACATAGGATCATAAAACAAATTCACATCTTCCATCACTTTTACCCTATATAAGGTTAGTTTCATTAGCCTTATCACACTTCTCGATGAATCAAATAATCAAATAAATATACTTACATATGGCTTACAAAATGTAATGCGAACCTCTTTTCAAATGAATCAATTTTTTTAGCATTTCGATGATTAAGATTTTCTTTAGTCTTCTTAATATCGCGATCAATAATACTTTTCAGAAATGACTTAATCTCTTGGTTCATATTATCATTTGTGTCTACTTCTGGCCTCCTTATTTCCTTACGCATCTGCGCAACAATACCTTTATCTAACGTTCCTAGGAAACCGTCTTCATCATTTAAATTGAAAAAAATAATGTCGTAATATTCTGGATTGGTTTTAGGTGGATTTACATCAAGCTGATATTTTGCCAACTTTTCTCTGATATTAATTCCACTAATAATCCAATCAATACTTTTTCCACCGACAATAGTTAAATCTGCATTGAATTCATCATCCTCTTCGTCTATATCATGATCATGCTTATTTCTAACTAGAAAAGGATTTGGTACAGGTTGTTTATAAATGTGAACCGGAAAAGTATCATAAAGAGAAATCTCTTCTTCTTCATCAGGAGTATGTGCCCGTTGAAGATGAGGAACGTCACGCACGGGGGAAAAATCTTCTATTCTTGTTCGTTTGTAGGAGGATGATTAGTCTGGTCGTCCTAAAGTATTAAATTATAGTTCTTATTACAAAACATAATGAATTGTCACGCTGTTTATTGATTTATTATATACCTTTTTTTGAAGGCCCAGGTCAGTATCCTCTAAACGTCTTGCAAGCTTCTCCTGTACAATCCGTCCTTGTCTATATGTAGAGTACACAGCGTTTGTAGTATGTTCCTCCTATGAAATGAACAGGGTTAATGTTTCCATATCATACATCTTGGTATATTACAGATCAAATGCTCCATACCAACAAAGCTTCGCGTTCAGCTATAGCTCCCAACTTCCTCCTTTGCACCGATGTAGCACTCTCCCAGAATTCGTTTACTAGCTGTGTTTTCTTTTCCTTCTATTAACGATATAATATTTTTTAGTTTGTGAAAGACAAGTTCACCAAATACTATACTACAAGCCACAACTAATGCAACTCCAGTTGCAAGGACGGAACCACCCGAGCCTCAACTCATGCACTTCCCGGCCTCAACCAAGAGTGTTGGGCGATTGAACGCAGGCCTCAACCCCATCCAAAGGCAATCATCCTTTAGACTCGTCCACTTACAACCAGATAGGAAAAGCCATTCACACAGGACGGAACCACCACGAGCCTCAACTCATGCACTTCCCGGCCTCAACCAAGAGTGTTGGGTGATTGAACGCAGGCCTCAACCCCATCCAAAAGGTTATACACCCTTCAGACCCGTCCACTGCTAAATCAGAATGTATTTTCAATTGCAATGGGGCATGAAAAAATACTTAACTTGCATTGAGCCAATTGCTCTGCCAGCCCGTCTCAATAAATGTACTGGTATTTCTTCACAACTCATTATATTTGTAAGGTTCAGGAATATCGATGATGCTCTTTGCCTTTATTGGGCAGAAAATCACTGCATTGTTGGCGATAGAGTAAAAAACCCAACAAAGACCAGTCGTGATTAGTTGTGAAATAGTCTGGATCTTTTACTGAGATTCCTAACAAGAAGAAACTTTAATCACCAAGAAAGGCCGAAATCCCAAAACAAAACGTGCGGAGAGAGTACAAACTTACCTTCCAATGTTTCGGCCAGTGTGGTGTCTGCAGTAGATGTAGAAGCTGAGGCTGTTGACATGGTTTATTGGTATATTATTACTGTTATTATTATTATTAATGTTATTATTATTGTTATTATCAGCATAGATAAAAATCCTTTTATGGATAGATCGGCGTTACACACATTTAATAGACATTTCAAAAAAAGATCAACAATTTATATGTGAAGAGTATTGTAAAATCGAAAAAGTGCCACTTAGAAAAGTGGCGCTGCACAGACTATATAACACTACCTCAAAATTTGCACAAATGTTCCGTTATTTTTGTTCTTTCCTGAGCGGAAAATAACTTTTCCTGAGCGGAATTGGATTTTTATTTTTATTAATAACAAAGTTGCTCTAAATTTGTCATAACATCCAAATTTGCGATGATCTACATTTTAAATTTAACGCGCAACATAAAAATAAAAATTCAAGCAATAATAAATAAATCATTATAAAATGAATAAAGGTGTAATCCGAAAAAATTTTGGTCCTTGTATAGTATGTGGTAATCAAAATTCTAATATAGAATACAGAAAGATTACCACAAAAACAATATTGAAAATAAATCAAAGTCCTAATATTGAAAATCTA